TCGATGCCTCTCGCTGATACTAAACAACTGAGCAGTTTGCCTTTCTTGATGCCGAATATGCATTTATCTGGGTTCAACTTGAGGCCACACTTTCTCAGGTTCTTCAATGTTTCTTGAAGGTCCTGAATATGGGTCTCCTTCTTATCGCTCTTGACAACAATGTCGTCGACGTACGCTACCAGATTTTTGCCTTTTTGTTTGTTGAAGACTCCATCGGTCATTCTAGAAAAAGCGGAACATGTGTTTCGCAGTCCCTCGGGCATCCGCCGGTAACTGTAAGTTCCTCCTAGAGTGATGAAACTTGTTTTCTCTTCGTCATCCGGGTTCAACCAGATTTGGTGATACCCTGAGAAGCAATCTAGCAGACTCATCACCTCGCACCCAGCAGCGATGTCGACTAACTTGTCAATTCTTGGGAGTGGATATGGATCTTTTGGGCAACACATGTTCAGATCAGTGAAATCTACACACATTCGCCATTTCCCATTCTTCTTTCTGACCATTACAACATTAGCTAGCTATTCTAGGTACTATACCGGTCTGATGACTCCGGCATCGAGTAGCCATTACACTTCGGCTTTTGCCGCTTCTGCTCTTTCTGTGGACATTTTCCTCAGCTTCTGCTTCCTTGGTTTTGCTCCTTTCGCCACGTTCAAGTTGTGTTGCGCGAGGTCGTGACTGATGCCCTGTAAGTCATTTGCCGAATTGCATTTAATATATCCTGGTTCTCATGAAGAAAAGCTATCAGATTGTCCTCCTCGCCTTTCGCGATGTCAGAACCTACGTGTACGCACTTTTTGGGCACCAACGCAGACAAGGGTGATTTTAGAGTGTCTTTGGTGGCCTCTACCCTTAGCTCTACTGTCTGCTTCTTTGCTAGGTGGCTTATTCGCTACTTCATTTACGAGGCTATAACCAGGGATCAGTTTGCCCTCTATTCGCCTTGACACGGCTTGATCTCCATGTACCGTAATTATCCCGAAAGGGGATGGCATCTTCATTCATAAGTAACTTTGCTTTATCACCATTTCAAACTTGCTTAGGACTCCCCTGTCGAAGATGGCGGTATACGGATAATCCATGTTGACTATGTCAAAAGTTAATATTTCTGTGCGGACCTTTTCGCCTTCTGCGAAGGAGACCGAGATTGCTTTCTTCCCTAGGGCGTCTATCTTTTTCCCAACCAAACCAAACAATGAGTTCCCGGCTGGTTCTAACGTTCGCTTGTCAAGGTTCATCTACTCGAAAGGCTTGATGAAAAGAATGTCGGCTGAACTCCCATTGTCTATTAGGATGTTGTGTACAGTGAAACCAGCTATGTTTGTTGTTGCTACGAAAGCATCTCTGTGTGGAAAATCTTGGACATGGAAGTCATTTTCGTCGAAGGTAATTGGTACCATGGACCAAGCTGGCCTATTGAGCAGTACCTTTGGCAAAACGGTGTGCACTCTCCTTTCATAGTCTCTTCTGGCCCTCTTGTTTTCATGCTCTTGGTTTGATCCGCCGGTGATCGCGAATGTTGTTTATGGCCTGATGCTCTTAGGTGTTTTCTTGCTTGGTGGGCTAAGGTTGACTTGATTGCTGCTGTTCTTGCTGGACTGGTGAGGACACAGCGGCTGAATGCCCTGGATGTTGGGTGAAATGTTGATACACCGAGAAAGCCAGCTGTTGCCAGATATATGGATGCTGGTTGTATCCGTGCGAAAAGCTAGGGTGCTAGAAAGAGTTGCTACTTGTTGTCATGTAGTGGCTGTCGTAACCTTGATTGTTCGCCATTTCACGACCGGTGTTGTGGAACACATGGTTGGATGTTTTGTAGCTTTTTGCGGCCTCGTCTTTCTCCTTAAGCTCTCTAGCCATTTTGTTGTATTTGTAGTCTTTTGTGAAGTGGCCCGTGTTCTCGCCACATACGGCGCAATAAGGTATCCTCTGGTTCCTTCCCCTTCCTCTACCATCGAATCCACTGCGGGGGCTCGCCCCCCTCGCCCGCCACATGGAGCTTGATCGAAGCTTCTATACTACTGGTTTGGCAGCAGCCCAGGGAAGGCTTGCTCTGTTGGATTATGTCCTGGCTGTTCTTGCAAATTGTTGATTGCACGAAATGGTCTCGTGTTTCACTGCCCTGGGGTTGGTTGTGGCCTAGGGGCCCTGCCTGCTTGCCTCCATAAGTTGTGTGTTGCCTTTCGCTTCTTCATGTCATCGTCTGACCTAGCATACTGCCTCATTATCTCAAACAGCTCTTTGACAGTTGTGGGTAATTTCTGGCGAAATGCGCTGCACACTGGCCTATGGCCAGTCCTTCGACAGTTGCTGCTATCACCGTCTCTTCCGGTGCATTCGGCACCTGTGCTTTGATTTGGATGAGTCTCTCCAGATAATTAGACAAGGATTCATCATCTCGTTGTATACAGTTTAGCAAGTCCCTTGTGGTTTTCGTTCTTGGGTGATATCCCTCGAATGTGGATAAGAGTTTCGCTTTGACCTGGCTCCACGAGTGGATGGAAAGGGTCTTCAATGATGTGTACCAATCATGGGAGATATCTTCAAGAGCCATAACTAGGGATTTGGTGAGAGTCTGAGCGTCTCCTCCTGCTGAGGTGACGGCCGTTTCATAGCATGCGATGAATTTTCTTGGGCTTGTTTTTTGTTGAAAACTGGAATACGTGGCTTGTAGCCTAGGGGCCATGGGTGCAACTGGAGCTCTTTTGACAAAGGTGAGGTGGAATCGTATGCATCTTCATCTTTGTCTAGCAGAATGGCGTATGGTATTATTTTGTTTCCGCCTGCCCGTCCGACGCCTCCGCCTGTTGCTGCTCCATGCAAACCCTGGATCTCGTGCATCAGCCTTTCCCTTTCAATCTCGGCTTGCCTAATCGCTCGCTGTGTTTATTGTCCTGTTTTGAGCGGCTACCTGCCTCAGCAACTGCTCCTTCTCGTGCTACAGCCTGAGGATGTCATACTGATACTAGTCCAACTTTTTTAGATCTTTTGCCTGTTCGGTGATTTCGTCGTCTTTGTCTTCTTCCGGTACTTCATTTCCATCTTGATCGAGCTAGACTTCCTGAACCACTCCTTCGGGTGGGTCCTCTGAACCTAGAGGAGGCACCGTGCTATCTCCCACCACCTAGGGAGCTGGTGGTTCCACCATTGCTGTGCCATCTCACGCGGCTGTCTCTACAGCAGCGAAAGCTACCACCTTGGATGCTTCTGCCCTGTCCACCGGTGGCTTTGGCGCTTTGTTCTTTGGTGGCATGATAAGCTCGAGCAACAACCATGGTGGGCGACAATGTTGTTTGAGGCCTAAACATTTGAACACCGGGTTGCCACAAGGGCTTACTAGAAAGCGGAACAAAACAACAAGCGAATAGTGGGTGAGCGAAATGAAGTAACAGACTTTATTGATCTTGTTCTTCTCTCCTTTTACATTCCCCGGCGGGGGCTATTTATACACGCCTGTAGGCTTTTCGTGAGACAAAAATACCCTTACAACCACTACACATTCGGGGAATATTCCCCACCGCCGTTGGCTTGCTCGGCATTCGGAGTTCCTGCCTGCCTTGGGTAGCGCCGGCCCGAGGGGAGCCAACCAGCCCCGCCTCACTTCGCCTCTACGACCGACCGAGTGGGCCCCTGGCTGACAGAAGTTGTCGGCCACGTGAAGGCGACTGACCCCTCCAATGGCGAAACCTACAAAAATGACTAAACAAACCATTAACGACTATTCGCCCGAGCGAATAGCTCAAGTCAATCCAACGCCCCCAGCCATGTTGGCTTAAGCCGGGTCGTTCTTCTCGCCAGGGCGGAAGGAGTTGAGCCGGGCGCAGGGTTCGGGCGGACCCTTACCGTCGGATCCGCCATTTCGCTCCGACGAAAGGGGAGTCAAAGCAGGACTATCATGAAACAGGGCGGCTAGAGCCGCCCCTCATCTCGCCTTGATGAGATGAGAACTCCGCAACACAGGCTCTCTTTCTCGCGCCGTATCGCACTCGTCATTTCATTAAAGCGAAATGTTAGGTGCGCCGACAGGCTGAGACCGTTCATGCCCTTGACGTCCGTCATGGAGTCTGCGCGAGATGCTATTTGCATTAGCAGGGTGCGGATGGGGCGGCGAATGAGCCCCATGGGGTGCCCAGAGGTGGGGCCTGCCCCCATGAAGGAGCTCTTTGTTAGGCATGAGAGCATGTTATATGCATATGCACAGTTCAGATTAAATAAGACATTCTAATGCCACCAAGCACTTCTCTTTACCTCTCATATTGAAATTGTCAAGACAATTCAATGCTCTTGCTGGACAGGAAAGAATCACTATGTAAAAAAAGCACATCACATATGCGCCTTTAGAGACGTCAGTCTCTAATAACGCGTATGTAGTAAGGTCTTATTACAGATGCGCCTCAACACGCGTCTGTAGTATACCAACACGCATCTGTGATTATGTTTCAGACAGACGGGTAGAGGTAAAGACGCGTATGTGACGACCCTTATCACATACGCGCATAACCAACACGCGTCTGTGACGACCCTTATCGCAGACGCGCATAACCAACACAGTCTGTGATAACAATTTACAAAAACAAAAAAAAGACCCCAATTTCATATATCATACATGATATGTCAAATTATATACAGCAGTCAATTGCTAATTAGCAATTTCATATAAAAAGGGGCGTACCCAGTGCAGAGAGCTCCCGCTCTATGTGGGGTCTGGGGAAGGGTGTCAGTGGCAAGCCTTACCCTCGCCTGTGCAATGCGAGGAGACCGCGACTTGAACCCGGGACCTTCCGGTCACATGCGGTAAGACTCTACCGCTTGCACCAGGCCCGTCCTTCTAATTAGTAATTTCATATACGTGAAGTAATATCAAAAGCCATTACATGTCCCTCATATACTGCAAGTAAACCTACTTTCTACTTGAACTAAGAAGATAAGTTGCAGGCATGTAACTAATAATCTCCTTGAAGGAAATATTCAAGTCATTGGATTCTGCATAAGTGATGTAATCACACAGTGAAGTTCAGTATGCCACTATCTGTACCAACTATCATTTCCTTGATATCAATACCCTGGCAACAACACCTCATGTGTTAATTTGGAAGTGTGTGAAATCAACAAAGGGAAAATGGGAAAGCACTGACCTGCAATGCAACTGGAAGTAAACCCATAGATGACATTTCTAAAGTCCTGCCACCAACCCAGTCAAACATAGGAAACCAAGCTATGTTTCTCCATTTCTGTTCCAGCTTCCTGTTAATTAGACAAACAATGCCAAAACTTGAATTTGGATATTTTTTTAATCATAAACACTAAAGGACTTCCGGAGTGTATAATAAGAAAAAGAACTTTGATATTATCTATTGTGGCTGCTAAGTAAAGGTCTGTCAATGTATACTAAGATACTAACTTTTAAAAAATAACTTACACAAAAAGAAAACTCATGGTTTCGCTGCTACTGTGTCATTGCTAGCTGCATTGAGCAAAATTCATAACTGCTGCTACTAACTTTCATCTATTTTGCTGCTCCAAGACTATATGAACAGTTCTCCCAGTTTGGTATTCTCAGTTTGGTGTCATTAAATAAAATGCTTAAGTGCAGACCAATGCTACAAATGTACTATTAAATCTCTCACAGTTGTAAAGAACCAATTTGCGACTGAAGTGAGATGCAAACTAACAAAATTATTGAAGCAAAGAAGGTCTCACCTGCACTGTGCAGCAATCTTCCCCTTACCCATCTTAAAATCATTCCTCTAAGATGCAATGCTGCAAAACGTGAACTGTATGTCAACTGAAGCAAAACATTCCACTAAAATTTATTTCAAAACAACTAAAAGCTGAAACACAATGTATATCATTGACAGAATTACTAAGAAGTCAAATTGAGTAACTTTAAAAGGATCTAGATTCACAAACAACCAAAATGGTCATAGAGTATGACAGCTATCCAAAATCTGGTCCCGTTTAACTTATAGCTGATGCAAATCACAATAGTTAACAACTATATCAGCTACTTAAAATAGCATAGGGTTACCTCAGCGCATATGAAGCCCCTTTCGAAATCAGTGGAATTGCACCAGAAGCTTGAGGAGCTTTGACGTCTGATCTGCAACCTTAAAAGCAACTCTAAATAGTGAGAAATTGACTATTGCTAGTCAAATAGGTAGCTAGCAGTCTAAAAGATAGTAAAAATCTAAATAAGTGAGATGTTTTGTCAAATCACCTGAGGTTGCATATAACCCATTCCTTGGTTGTATGCTCCTTGTTGGCCCATGTAAAAAGAGCAGAAACAGTCAGGTGGAGGTCAAGTCTATTAGGCAAACATACAGTAGTTTGTATGGTGAAGACCTGCAGAATGCAAGTCTTTCTCTAGTACCTCGTTGCACATGCTGTTGTCACTGCAGTCATACAGAGCTGCACTTGATGTAAACATGAAAGATCCTTCACTCCAATTTGATGCTGCCAAATTGCACGCATTTTCTGAAATGAGGATATATCACATGTCCACTCTCCATAAGATATAATTTAATTATAGGAAGAAAGATGAATGAAGAATTCATAACAGTCTCACATGCAACAGTGCAACAGTGGCATAATACACTTGGTAAATTCAGGGATGAGTTGCAACCGAATTATGAGAATGTAAAGTCTTCTGTCATATCTGTAATTTCATCTGTAACTGCAGTATAGGATAAGGAGGCAAGTTATACCACAGGAGTAATTCTACTGATCCAATATCAAAGAACCAATCACCAACGGAGGTAATTTTCTAAGTGAAGTTCACTGTTTTTATCTTTGTTTTCTTCTCAGAGACGCATAGATGTGCAGTTTTTTACTGAAAGGCATAGATGTGAAGATATGCGAGAGGGAGCCTCAGAACTTTACATGCTTGAAGCGAATGAATATAGATCCTGTTAAGGCAGGCCTGAAGATGGGCACTTACCTGTTGAAATTAAGTAGCAGTATGAAATAGCATTCATTTATTTTGAGAATATGAAAATCTACAGCCGATGGCGAAATTACCTATTGATATTAATTGACAAATCTGTTCAGTACCATTTTAACTGACTGCAGCACACTAATCAAAACGCAATAACCATCTATCACTAATGGAAGATAAATCACCTGGGGCTAAACAGGATGGAAGGGGGAAGGGGAAGGGGAAGGGGGAGGCCAGAAGAGGAGCAGGGGACGATGACGCGGCTGACGTACGTACCGCTTCCCTGGGGCCCGAGAATGGAGACGACGGCGTAGGAGAGGCCCGGCCCCTCGAGCCCCGCGGCGGCGGCGAACCACTCCATCGCGGCCATGTCCATCTCTCCGTCCGCGCCTACCACCTGCGTCGCGTGGCACTCGCCGCCGACTACGACGCCCCCAGCTGCGTCCATCGATCCCCTATCGCCGGAGAACCGAAGCGGATAAGAAGTCACTGCTACATAAAGCTAAACACCGCAGGCTCAAAACCCCCATTATTTGGCCCCCGTCGGTGTACGTCGGCGGTGATGGACGACCTTCGTCTCTGCCGGTTAGGCACCGGCGATGACGGTATTTTACCACCGTCGGTCCGGCATACCATACGACGACGACGGTGTCTTACCACCGCTGGCCCGGTGTACGATCCGGCAGCGATGGTGTAACCATCGACGCCGGGTCCGCGTACCGGTCCGGCGTACCATCTGGCAGTGATTGCGTAACCATTGATGCCGGTCCAGCGTAAGATCCGGCGGTGATAATGTAACCATCGACATCGCGTACCATCTGGCGGTGCTGATGTGTCCATCGACGCCGGTCCAGCGTACCATCCGGCATTGATGATGTAACCATCGACGCCGGCCAGGCGTACCATCTGGCGGTGATGATGCAACCATCGACGCCGGCCCGGCGTACCATCCGGCGGTGATGTTGCAGCCATCGACGCCGGGCCAGTGCACCATCTGGTGGTAAACGATGCGCCTATCATTGCCGGGTCATCGTACCAACCGGCGGTGATAATGGACCTATCGACGCTGGACCGGCATACCTTCTGGCTGTGATGACGAGACATTAACACCGGTCCGACGTACCATCCGGCTGTGATGTAGGTGTCATCGCACGCGGCTGGTGTTCCCTCCGGCGGTAATGAGGGGCAGCGTCACCGCCGCCGTTGTGTTTGTTCTAGCAGTAATGGTGTGTCCATTACCGCCGGCGTTACCACTATGCATCATTATTGTTCACAATACATTATAGCACCAACAATACAGAAATTTCATAGCTTACGCACCGCCAGCAACATATATAGACAGAGACAATGTATTGTATCCAAACATACATCACCACCGAGACACAAATATCCATACAAAACGACAACGACAAACATAGTTTTCAAACACTGGCATCCAACAACAGCTAATATATAGTTTTTAGAACACTAGCACCTTGATTAGAGAAGGTGATGGACTCCCTTGGGGTTCACGACTTTGTTTATAATGAAACCGGAAAGATCTTCTTAGAACACAGATATCTCCAAATCGGTCAGCTCCGTTGTAGATGACACTTCAGTCTGGAACACAAGAAAAAGGTAAAACACAGTTAAGAAAATATTTGCTACACACTCTAAGTGTCCCGAGGTCGTCCAGATTTACTAAAGGGGCCGAGGGGCCAAACCTATGAGCCGAAGAGAGCATTGATGAGGCTACACATGTAATGCATGACATAGAACCCGCAGAGATCATTGCCCACAGGCTGCATTTGGATCGAACCAGCCGATACTACTCGAAACCCAGATCTGCCAAGCTCACGATGTTTCTTGAACCTTGACTTGAACTCTCGTAGGCCCTGTGCGACAAGTTCATGACAGCGACATAAGATGATCAAAGCTATGTAACAAATAATCTTATCATTGCCAATGTAGTACTAGCTTGTCTTACTTATTCAGCGCCTCAATGAAGGGATGGATGTTCTCACTACTACACAAAATCTTTTACACAGCGTTTACCAAATGGGCTCCGAGGCGGTTGGCCTGGTTGCCTGCCTCGGTTATTCGAGGCAGGGCAGCCAGGCTAGCAACCGCCTCGGTTAATCCTTAACCATGGTGGGCACTGTAGCAAAACCGCCTCGGTTAATGCTTATTAACCGAGGCGATTGCCCTAACGTAACCGCCTTGGTTAATCGATTAATCGAGGTGTTTGTTCTAAAGCAACCTCCTCGGTTAATAGGCGATTAACCGAGGTGGTTTCCCTATAGTGTCCGCCTCAGTTAAGTCTGGGCTATAAATACAGCCGCACACACCCTTCTTCACCATGGCTCCTCCTCCATTTTTTCGGGTTTTGACTTCAAAACCCTAAAAAGTGGCCATTTTCTAGGGGGAGAGGTTTTGCCCTTGGATTTGTTGAAGGGACCACCGCAAGAGGTTGATTCTCGCTCTCAAACCCTCAATCTTCTCTCTTTTCCATGACTTGGGTGCTTTTTCTCAAGATCTAGATCTAGATCTATATGGAGGAGAGAGAAATCAGATCTAGAGCTACCCGGCTGTTTTTTTCGTACTGCTCCGCTTATATGAGTCATTTTCGCTATTTGTGTGTGCAAGGTGTTCGCGGTCATGGACAGGGAATGGATGTACAAGACATCGAGGCTAGAACCAGCTTACCTAGATCATGTGATAAAGTTTATTGCCGCTGCGAAAAGGCATCGTCTGAGTCTGATGCGGGAACACACCATCTGTCCGTGTAAGAGCTGCAAGAACCTTCTTGCCCATGGAGATGACACGACGAAAAATCACTTGGTCCGGTATGGTTTCGTTAAGGATTACACCGTCTGGAAGTTTCACGGGGAAGCAGAGGATCCGAGTGCCGGTGCATTTGGAGGAAACTCGTCGACAACGACGATGGCAGCGGTGAATGCAGAACAACAAACCTCATTAGTAGCGACCGGCGAGCATGGTAATGCTGTTACTGGTGACAATGCAGATCATGATTACATCGCGATGGATGATTTGCTCCAAGACATGGCTAACGACGACGGCGGTGGCGACGGTGATGATGGGGATTGCAGTGAGCTAGTGAGGGATCCCGAGACCACGGTGATGGCAACGACAATGTTGATGGCCCAAGCAGCAGTCCTCCAGGCAGTCCGCCTCCTGGCAATAGCAATCCACAGGGAGACACAGGGGCAGCATCGGACGATGTGACACCACTGCCTGCAAGTTGTTCGAACCAGGGCTCAAACCAATGTCCTCCCCTGTCGAGGAAGCATGCAGATGAAGAGGAAGCCATACCCCCGAACCACACCAAGTCGAGTTGGGTGGCATGTCAAATAGCTGACTAGCACCCATACTCATCTATATTTGAAAGGTATGCTACTAGCAAGCATAGTCAATCTATAATTTATTTGGAGATGTTAGCTTCTTTTTTCACTCCCTAACATCTCAAGCCCCAGTGTTGCAGGCCGAAAACACCGTCGTCGTTTTGGCCCCGGTCGGATGATTGCCCAAAAAACTACGTGCATGGGAAGCTCATGTTGACCTTGGGCGACCTCCATGAAGAGAAGTGGGAGGTAAGGAGGTTCCATCTGTGGTACATGGAAGCGGCAAAAGTGGGCCTCAAAAACTTCGTCATCAAGATTATGGCAGAGTACTTCCACATGCCCACGGATGGTCAAGTCATCATAGATTTCCATGACATATATAGACTACTTTGGCGAAAGTACCTCGATGTCGCCCAAGTCACCTTATTTGCCCTGTAAGTTCATTACGACTTTGACACCACTGCATCGATGTAGGTACTTTATGAACAAACTAATAATGCCATGATGACTCTTCCTTGCAGGATGCAGGACTATGTAAGCAAGGAATTGGGTAAGAATATTGTCTATCTCTCTCCGATGCTTATTACAGAGAGAACCATCGCGGGTTACGATATACCAGACACTCAAAAAAAGCTGGTGAACTTGAACCCGGAGCAGAGAAAGAAATACAGGGAAGATCTGGTAATCGAATATAAGTATCGGGCGGGATGTACATCTATGGAGCCATGAAGAAGGTCCGGGGAAATGGGTGCGTCATGGCCGCCCACCAGTTCGGGTAAGTCCAAAAGATGATTGGAACATATATATATAGGTACTGGTATCATGACTTCTCATATTTGAACATTTCAAATCTGTATTGTGTGAATGGTGCAGCCAGGGCATCATGGGCCACTGGAATGCATTTATAATCTATCCTTAGGACGAAAGGGCCTGTATATTTGACTCTTTGTGGGAAACAAACAAAGAAGGGCAAGCACTTTGAAAGTGTATTGAGATAGTAAGTGACATAAATTATTCATTTATAGTTAACATACGTGTTGAAATTGTCATTGACACTACTGGTTTTTCGTACAGCGCTTATAAGAAGTATGTGCAAGATCCCGAATCCTATGACCGAAGATCTAAGGAGAAAAAATCAAGAATGGCACGAAACTAAAACTCAGGCGCGAGTTCCCGGTAAGTATATCAAAAGTCGTTTGTGCTATTATATCAAGCATGCTCTCTACTACTACTGCTGATATACTACTTTACTACTACTATACCTACTACTACTCTTACTACTATACTATACTATCCTCCTACTACTGCTCTCTATATATGCTATAATGATTGTGTATTATATATCGTGCAGTGCGCCAAACAACCTTATGGCTCAGTATTTTGTGGATTCTATGTTTACGAGTACCTGAGGACGTGCAGCAGATTCAGCAGCAGCTGGCGGCAGCTCAAGAAAGCACAAGGATGGTGGCGAAGGGAGAAGGTCGACCAAGACTTCAGACAAACAGTAGCAGACATATGTAAGTTTTTCACAAAGAGCGCGCATGAAGGGAATATGTTCTTCAACATGGAAGGCGACTTAGCATGGGATTCCAAAGTTCGAGAGGATCAGAAACTAGAGCACCCAGTTACGAATCTCATATTACATTTTACCGAACCTCTTTCCCAAGAAAGGTTGATATGTATGACTATCCTTAGTTGCTCATGTATGAATGATGTGTTTTTGTAATGATGAAGACATCTCTAATGTAATAACTTAATGTTGGTTCGTCGAACAAGAATGAGTGTCATATATGTTTGTCATCTATTTTATGCTTTATCTGTGTTTTCATTAGCGAAATTCAAATTTGAAAAAACATTTTTTTAATCTAGAAATCATTAACCGAGTGAAAGCGCTAGTTTGGTTTTGGTGAATTGACGAAACCCTAAGTGCTAACCTAGTTTATCAAAGTGATTATGAGATAGGTGTCACATTCCAAGTGGTGAAGCAAATGAAGATCATGACATGATGACGGTGATGCCA